TTTGTATTTTGTGAATTTGAGTATTCCACCTGGCATATTTTTATACTTTGCGAACTTTGGGACCAGGCAGGCATTAGAAAGCAACGGCTTTGATCGGGCAGGCAGTCAGAAATGTTCTTCTAATGCCTTTAACTGTGATATATTTAATTTTCACTCGAAACGCGATGAGTCGAATTTTGAGAAAAATTTCAGTCGATTATTATTTGACAGGCGCTATTAGCAACTGATTTAGGTAGACAGGCATTCGAAATCATACTTGGGGTTGTTTGTTCTATGTTCACACAAATTTTCATGCAAAACGCGATGAGTCGGTTTTTGCTTTTACAAAACCTCGTTAAACATTTTTTTATTAATAAACGCAACCGATACGAGCAGGCAGGCACGCGATTTCGTATTGTTCATGATTGATTCTACATTTCCTAAATTTTTCAGCCATAATAAAATCAGCCGGATTTTTTTTCACTGGCTCTTGTACTATTAGTAAAACCTAGGATGTCCCTGATATTCGCTTTCGCAATTTCCTTTGATTTCGGATATTGTGTCCCAAAGTGCCGCTGTGTATGCCATCTAAGGTTAGGACATTGACATAATAAATATAAAGTTTGCCTCACGAGTCTAGGACTATGGAAAGAATGCGGATAAAAAAATTGCAGTATTGCCTATTTGACTTCCAATAAAAAATACCTCAATATTTATTTATGTAACACACCTACATTCATAAGGAAAAAGTGATGTTTAGAAACGTTGCACGCACGCCTATGACAGGCAGCATAAAGCTCGAAATGAATGGCGTTATTTCCCCTTGCTCTTCAGACGTCGTAGTGCTAGACTCGTGAGGCGAACTTTAGAGGTGTTTCATCTTTCTCTGCACACCCAGAGGCGCCGACTTTTGAAATTCCTCATGGGTGCAGTTTATGAATTTATTTATAGGGAGAGGTGGAAGCTCGCCGGTAGCGAAAAAAAATTTTTTCACGAGTATGCGAAAAGTGTTTTATTCTGCACGCATTTTAGGCCATGAAAATATTACTTTTCTGCACTAGTGCAGAAAAGTAAAATAATTATGCAATATTAAGTCACCCGCCTGGTAGGGGAAGGCGGGGCATAACAGGGTACCCAACGTTTGATGCTCAATTGTCACTACAAAATTAGCAAGATAAGTTTTTTTTTTTTGCTATAGGTGTATTACTCAACATAAGTATGTAAATTAAGCTTTTTCACCATTTTTTACAGTTAAATAAATATTTTTGATACAATAATTTCGAGAAACCAAAAAGTGTATTTTGCCCCATTTCGCCCCGCTAGCGGAGCAGAACGGGGTTTTTATATTTTTCACCAAAAAAACGGCTGGGTTCGGTAATTGCATCTGCGAGCAAATAGAGCAAATCTTGACAGACGTCACGCGATCACTTATCTTTTTTCACGTGTCAAATCACGTGACATCTGTCAAATTTTGGTCTTTTGCTCGCAGATGCAATTGCCGAACCCAGCCAACGGCCGCAACTGCTGCGTTCATGGAGTCGATACTCTATTCCTGACGCTTTGTCTTCCGAATATAACTTCTAACTAACCATCTGAGAAAATACTAAATCGACAATAAACGGGACAGAACGCTGTAACCCATTGTACCCCACCCCATTCCGCCCCATGTGCAATATTTACTTTTAAAGTAAAATTTATGGAAAAAAACATAAACTAGAGTAAAGCTAAGTGATAAAAATGTTACTTAATAAAAGCTCTTTGCATAACATAATTGAATAAGATTGAAATTAAAAATGCAAATTATTTACGGTGGTTAATATGGACGCTAATGTTACAAACTTACACGAAGATTCAAGTTGTTTAGGAGACTTAAGCCTTGCTTGACGTTTTTCGGACAACTGACGTATCTACATGTATTTGATGCGTCTTGGTGAGATTCAGTGCAAGTTTGGATGTTTCCGGACTCCGGATGACGGTATTCCGTTCTACCCTGCTACCACGTTCTGCCCCGCCTTCCCCTACTTTCATGTTCTAAAATGCGTGCGGAAAAGTACGGTCGTGAAAAAATAGCGTTCCTCAATCATGCGGAAAGCGGAAAGTATCCCTACCCACGCGAAAAATTAAATTATAAGGCATACGGCGCAAGCGTCAAACTTCCTGTTGTTGGCGGAACTATCCCGATTGTTATCAGAAAATAGAGATGGAGAATAGCAACATAAAGTAAAAGAGCATAGAACTGATCACAAATAACGAAAGGACATAATACTAATACCACTTGTATAATTCTTATACAAAGTTGTAAATTTAAATTACATGATACTGATATTACTACACTGAAGGGAATTACCATTGAACACGTTTGTACTTCGCAATCCCCACTAGAGCTCCCATGGGTGCTCCGCACCCATGAGAAGTTGCTCATGGGTGCACCTGCCCCGATGCCCCCATGTAGTCGGCGCCAGTGTGCACACCTTTCGCACAGCGAGTCTTCTGCTAGCTTCATTGTGTTTAGGTGTTTTCTGAGAGAGCAGTGTCCTGTCAACAATCCAACCACATCTTACAATTGTCTCCGGCTTAACCTTTTCGCTGCGGCAAGCGCTCCCAAAGCCGTGCCCGCTGTGCGGCGTTTTTTGAGCCGTCTCGTACATATACGTCCGGAGCAGTGTACAGTAATTTTAGCATGAGAAAAATTGCATAATTTCTTTTAGTTTTCCTAATTTGTGTAATGGATAGGGTGTTTTTATGCTAAAAACACATTATTTATTTATAATAAATTGAAACTCGTAGTGGGTTCATCAATTTCGCTGTCGTTCCATTTATAATTTTCAGATTCGCTGATAACACTTTCGTCATCACTTTCACTGTTCGCTAAAATGTCATACAGTTCCTGTTCTGTGTAAAATTTCTTATTGAATCGTGCCATTTTAAAACTTTGTAAATGAAATACCAAATACCTAAGCGCCAAAAACAAATAATATTTACAGCCTGAAACCACAATAGCCGGTGTATACCTACTTGTTTGCACTGCTCAGCGTAGGCGCCGCCCACATGGCAAATATCGGCGCCAAGCTGTAGTCCCAACCGTCCTGACTGATCGTACATATACGGTGATAGCAGTCTACCGCTCTAAATAGTTTTTTTGGGAGAAACGTAGATATACGCCTGGAGCGGTTTCGATCAAACCGTATTTATACGTCTGGAGCAGTTAAAAGGTTAAGCTAAGCAGTTCTGCTCTTAGATGCCATGGTTCCTCCATGACGAGTTTGGACTGCCTGAGTCCATCAGGAAGATCCATGAAGAGTTTTGTGTTATCCCTTATAAAATAATACCAAAAAATTGGGACCAGTAGTTTTTTAAGCTGCGTGACCTTGAACTCGAAAATTCGCTGCGGCGCGATTCATTCACCACAGCCCCCAAAATAAAATACTGATCTGGCAGGCCGGGCCGGTGCCAACGGTTTCCCGGGCCGGTTTTATGCTACCCACCCGCCGCTGAGTCCTGGGATTTTTGTGGAACCAAAGAGCCGACTGCTGCATTCGCCGCTTTGAATATTTCTTCATCGAAGGTCTCCATCTGTCAAGAATTTATTTTATACCAAAAAATGGAAATTTTGAACCACAAAACACGAATCTATCTGAACTTTCTACGTGGTACCTACCTATGGACGCGAATTATAATATTGAAATGCTGCTATGATGGGAAAAACAAAATCAACGCAGCAGATTTTGATAAATGTCACCTAGACTAGACGTTTAACCAAATTCTTGTCATAATAATTTTGACATCAAAATTATTAGTCAGCCACCAGTTGCAATTTATTTTCACCTTGATTTTCAATACCTTCTTTTTCAGTGCGGTGAAGATTCTTTATCGCACTGTAATAAAATTTTAAAAAAACATGCAATTAATGTATCTATTTGCCTACGCGTAATGTATAAAATAGAAATATTTATTGTTTTTAACAATCCACGGTTGCTATTTTTTATTATTTTTTCTTCTAATTAGATTTTTATGCCAAAAATTATGTGCTCCGAAGGAAAACTGTGGCTTGCCCGAACTCCGCTTCGCGTCGTTCGTGCAACTGCGTCGCGTGCGGTAAAGAACCACTTTCCGCACTTAATAAATAACTAGTAGCACTTAATAAATAACTATTTCCTACAGCCGTGCGGAGAAATCAATTTTCCGCACTGATATCTGTGCGGAAAATGAGTTTTTCCGCACGGCTATCAATAAAAAAAAGAAAAATTCTACATTTTTACGCCTGTAGAAAAAATATTGTACCTAACACTTGCGGAAAAATTCATTTTTCGCACTTGTTAGGTGAATAGCTATTTCACTTGGCCTAAACTCCGTACGCAGTTCAGGTCATCTCGTAGAAAAAATAGTCTCTTTTCCTCACTTGATTGCTTGCCAGACTCCGCTATACGTCGTTCAGCAAACTGAAATCGCGTGCGAAAAGTGGCACTTTCCGCACTAGTTAGGAAATAAACTGTTTCCTAATCAGTGTGCAAAGTTATGTTTTCCCGCACGCGAAAGCAAATAGACGCACGATGCGAAGCGGAGCACGTAAATAAGTGCGCAAAGTAGTTACTTTGCGCACGCTCTCAGAAAGAATTAATATTTAAGGTTATAATTAACAGTTATATTTGAACAATTCTGCTACGTTCGCTGCACACAGAGCTGCTTGCAGAACAAAACTTCAATGGGATTGTCATTTTTATTTTAGCGTGTGAAAAGAACTTTTCGGACGTTGTTCGGAATAATAATTGATTAGCTAGGTAAGTTAGTAACGCGTTTTTAATAGCTTTCTAGAACAGTCGTAGAAAAAATATATTCTACATTGTTACCCTGTCCTTTCTTTTTTAAAATGTGAAGAAAAGTTAGAAATATCTTCGAACCGTAACCCCGTAATTTTGGAAAGATGTTGTAGGAAAATCTCGGCCCTCGAACAGGGAACAACGAACAACAACGTCAACGTCATCAACGTCATAGTCAGTAAGTAGTTAAAACGTCAAAACGTGTAACTGTCAACAGTCGATTGTGATTGGCCCAAAAACAATTTCGACGGCAATCTTCAAAAATTGTGATCCGTAGAGGGGCGAATAACCTGATACGAGGCTAGCGATACGTTTTCGTCATCTCCCATCCCCCACTCCCAGTTCCCAGTCGGACGAGGAATTCAATTCACGCGCAGCAGTCGAAGCTCGAAGGTCGCAGCCGCACTCCGCAGCCCCCATACTTGTATTGATGCCTTACGTCGTGTAGCCTGGCTGTCTAGTACCTACCGTGTAAGTTTTGTCTGTTCATTGTTGTGTAACCGAAAACAACCACTTGCAAATTGTGTTTATGGTCAAAAAATCCAATACTAATGCTAGTAAATAAGGTGGGTTTATTTATACAGAAAATAACATATCTAATGGGTACATTTTGGACCAGTTAAATTAACTTCAAAACTACGAAAATATCCGTTAGCTTTAATTATATTCAAGCTAACGGCAAGGTAAATGAAAGGAGTTTTTGCAGTGGATTTATGAATATCGACATTTTGTGGTTATTTTATATATTTATTATTTAGCCTATAGTGTGAACGGTATGACCCAAATTTTTCATATATTTCGGATCTCCTTTTTTGGTAGTTTTTTTTTGTTTGTAAAGTTGTTTTCGTTTTCGTCGAAAAAAAATAAAGAAAAAATGTTTGAGGTTAGAGTTTATGCATTTTGACAGCGTCACTGCATAAAGTCGAAAATCGCGTGTCGCCCAATCCAGTGTTGCCAACTTGGTAGAATTTCCACTAGATCTAGTGGATTTGAAAGTCGTCTGGTGGAATGGTTTAAGCAAATTCCACTATAATGGTAATTTTAATGGGATCCACGGTTTGAACCTTCTAATGAATTTTTAGTGATAGTTCGCTTTTATTAGTTACTTGTCATCATATCGTGGGTAGTAGGCAAGGATGATACACACCTACAGGATTGCTTATCGGCCTCGTTTTTGGTAATCGCCGCCATATTCGTGTGTTACCATTTCCGACGTCATAACTAAGTCGTCAGCTGTTTAAACAGCCTACGTCAAGGCAAGAAATACCATGCTGCCTACGTCACAACTGGAAATTTGGCATGAGAGGGGAAGGCGGGAATTTGTTACATACAGACCTTATGAGAATAGGACATCCTGTAGTAATAGTATGTATCATCCTTGGGTAGTAGGTATGTCAATATTGTTAATGATGCTTTTATGTCAACTGTCAAGATTGTCACTTTCAAACTTCAAGTCAAGCAAACCCAAGGATGATACACACTACTACTACAGGATAGCCGATCCTCTTAAGACCTGGAGGAACAAATCTCCCCCTCAACCCCCCACCTGGCCAAATCAGCAGTTGTGACGTAGGCAGCATGTTATTTCTCGCCTTGACGTAGGCCGTTCAAACAACAGACTTAGTTATGACGTCGGAAATGGTGACACACCAATTTGGCGGCGATTACCAAACACGAGGCCGATAAGCAATCCTGTAGGTGTTTTATCATCCTTGAAGCAAATCCGGCTTTTATGGGCTTATATATCAAGGATATTACACACTACTTCTATAGGATAACCCATCCTCATAAGGCCTGTTGGGAACAATTCTGAAGCCGCCCACCACGCCAAATCACCAGTTGTGAGGTAGACGGCATGTCCTTCCTCGCCTTGACGTAGACTGTTTGCACTACAGATGATGATTCCGCGAGCAGGGACCCGGACCGGAACGATATTGGACCGAAAACCGGAACAAAACCGTTTTCTTTTTTGCGGACCGGAACCGGAACGAAACCCATATTTCATAGAAATGTTGTAGGGCAGGCAGAACCGGAACCGATATAAATTAATCGGTTCTTACCGGTATTTTCGGTTCCAAGATTTTATAAATTAAGCTGTTTGCTGTTTGGTTGTATCATATTTAAATTAACACTTTAAAAAACAGAGCGTTGGATATTGGACAGCGCGCATTAACTCAGCTAGGCAACACACCAAGGATTTTACATACTACTACAGGATTGCTCATCGGCTTCGATTTTTGGAATCAAGTTCATATGTTGTTGAACCGTTGCCGACGTCATCAACGGTCTCGTTAGCGGTTTGCGTTCGTAGTTAAAGAATATACATGTATGATGAAAAATATAATTTAAATTTGATTAACATAATAGTCAATAGACAAGAGGAAGATGCAAATGAGATCTAAACAAGGGTTGTTTTAGAATATTAAATAATGTACTATGGTTCTAAACCGTTTCGAAATACAATCCAATCCACGTTTTAAAACCATTTCCTCGTGCCGAGAAATTATGACGTCATTGTGAAACTGATTTAAACCAGTTTTGGAAAATGTTTCAAAACTTTGAGACGCGAGAAAACACCTCCTAATCCGTTGTGCAACTGGTGCAAGCACTACGTCAAGGCGAGAAACGACACGCTGTTACGTCATCACTGATCGAAAACACAAAAATTTATTTTATTAATAGTAATTATTATGATTATTAAAGTTAAAGTTGTTGCAGATAGGCAGAGAAATATAAAAAAAATAAACCACAAATTATAGGATCATACATTTTTCTGTAATGACCGTTTTAAAGGATGCTTGATGCTGAAATGGTCAGTGCAAATGGCCATTAGATATTTGTGAAAGACTATACCGGTATGAACCGTTAAAACCGAAATTATTGGTCCGAACTGAATCGAAATATTTCTCTTAGAACCGAAACCGTAACGGAACCGAAATTCGTCATGACGCTGCGGACCGGAACCGGAACGGAACCGATATTTCATTTCGGTCCGGGTCCCTGTCCACGAGCTTTTGCTTAATGCATACTTAGTTTTACTACATTAATAAACATTCTAAAATAACTCTGTTTTAGATCTCGTTTTCCTCTTTGCCTATCAGGGACCCGGACCGAAATGAAATATCGGTTCCGTTCCGGTTCTGGTCCACAGCGTCATGACAAATATCGGTTCTATTACGGTTCCGGTTCTAAGAGAAATATTTCGATTCGGTTCGGACCAATAATTCCGGTTTTAACGGTTCGTACCGTTATAGTTTTTCACAAATATCTAACAGAAAAATTAAAAAAATATATTTAGCAGAAAAATTAAAGTATCAGTGATGACGTCGCAGCGTGACATAGGGTGTTTGCACCATAGGCTATGGATTCCGCGGACTTTTGCTTTATGCATACTTGGTTTTAGTACATTATTTAACATCCTATTTCTCTCTCTCTCTCTTTGCCTATTTTGCTAATTCAAAATTAAATAATATTTTTCATCATAAATGTACAGTTGCGATAAAAAAAAATAGTACACGAAAAGTGTCCAAAATCTCCTGGTCTATTATACATTAATTTAATTCATAACCAAAAATAACATATTTTTGGCATTTTTCGACAAGTTTTTAACCTAGAAAACTTCAGATGACATTATTTTGATATTTTTCCACCCGTTTTTAACCTAGAATATGTCATTGCCTGTTAAAATTTTGTATGTTACACCGGGAGCTCAAATTGGGGTAATAATTTTTGTACTACTTTTTTTTTATCGCAACTGTATATTCTTAACTACGACCGCTGGCGCAAACCGCTAACGACACCGTTGATGACGTCAGCAACGGTGCAACACCATATGAACTTGATTTCAAAAATCAAGGCCGATGAGCAATCCTGTAGTAGTGTGTAATGAGTAGTATCCTTTGTGTAGCCTTGCCTAGTTCAGAAATGCGCGCTTTCCAACGCTCTGTTTTTAGAGTATTAAATGAATAAATTTTTTACGATACGATCAATCAGCAAACAGCCTAATTTATGAAATCTCGAAACCGAAAAATACCGGTAAAAACCGATTCATTCATATCGGTTCCGGTTGTCTACTTTACAACATTTCTATGAAATATGGGTACCGTTCCGGTTCCGGTCCGCAAAAAAAAAAAGTTTCGTTCTGGTTTTCGGTTCAACATCGTTCCGGTTCGGGTCCCTTTTGCCTATTATGTTAATCAAAATTAAATAATATTTTTCATCACAAATTAAATTCTAAACTACAAGCTCTAGTGCAAACAGCTGACGACTTGTTAATGACGTTGGAAATGGTGACACACCAATATGGCGGCGATTGCCAAAAACGAGGCCGATAAGCAATTCTTGGTACCTAGTGTGTTTTATTCTTGGCTTTATATGACATAAACATGCTGCTGTAACATAATCTAAGGAACAAAGAAAAGAAACCAACACAACACAACATGCTAGATGATAGATACTGTTGACTATAACTCTGTTCCAACAGACATGAGAACCGTTCCAGAACCAATAATTACTAGTTAGGTACTCATCTATATTTTAATAAGTTGATCGTTTATCGATAAGTATATGACAAATGAATTGATCGACTGGAAATTACCGTTCTGTAGAACGGTTTTCATGTCTGTTGGAACAGAGCTGTAATGTAACAGACTACAGCTACTTTAAAATACAGTGGCGACAATTGCCGATTTTAGATTCGTTCTCGAAAATCCTATATATTCACATTGAAGATGAGGTAGAATATGGCGGCGCGACATCTATTGTCGCCACTGTATGTAAAGGTTTATTGAGTCACTGTATGTAAAGGTTTATTGATGGTGGATTGCACAGTTCGTTTTAGAACGTCTTAAGTCATTCTTAAGTTATTCTGAAAGTTAAGCAAGGAAAATTCGGTTGCACCATTCAGAAAACTCACCTAAGATGGGTTTAGGAATTCCTAATTTTAAGGCACCACTGTTGGGACCTTAACACGTTCTTAGGTAGAAATAATTGTTTTTTTTTTGTCAAATGCAAATGTCAATTATTTGTCGTAGTGATTTCATAAAAATTATATTTATCGAGATATTTAATAGTAGATTATACCACGAGTCAATAATGATAGCTATTATTCCCGAGGATTATTACGAACTGAGCCGCGTTAGCGGCGAGGGAGTAACATTCCGAGGGAATAATAGCCATTATTGCGAGTAGTATACTCTACTTTATTTACGACAAATTAATTTATTTGAGATTTTCAATGAACAAATTTCATCCGTCTCATAATTTTCAATACAAATCCACAAGCACTACACGTTTGACACTGACACTTTTGTGGAATAATGACCATTAATCCCGCTACTCGTCATTAATCCCTGGAGGAATAACATATGTCATTATACTGCCAATATCACAAATATAATACGCACATTATACATTAGTCGTAAATAATAGTATATTATATACCTAGGTAGAGAAGTTGGTCCTTATATACC